CCACATCTTTACTAAGAGTGGTTATCTTTTGGTTTTGTTTTCTTGATAAAAGCCATGCAAATAGGTGTGAAGTGAAGTGTCATTATGGTTTTGATTTTCCTTTCATTACACATTAGGTGATGTAGAGCGTTTTGTCCTGCACTATTGATTCTTTAGATGTCTTCTATGGGGAAAATGTTCTCAACACTTTGACTCTGGAAGTCAGGTTATTTGTTTTTGCTGCTGAAGTAAAGGTGTGCTGTGTTTTGGATATTGACTCAGTGGTGACTTAGAAATATTTTCTCCCTTTCTATAGGTTTTCTCTTTACTCTGTACATGGATTATTTGTCAAACAAAGTTTTTAGTTTGAGATAATCAATCCCATTATTGTATTTTTGTTTGTGCCTATTATTTTGTATTAATATCTAAGATAATATTGGCTATTATGACCAATGGTATGAAAATTTTCCTCTATGTTTTCTTGTAGTAGTTTAATATATTCAGTCCTGTGGTTTAAATATCCAAAACTTTGAGTTGATTTTTGTGTGTAGTCTATTATAAGGGCCTAATTTCATTATTTTGCTTGTGAATATCCAGTTCCCAGCACCATTTGTTTAAGAAGCTATCCATTCAACTCTCTATATATTCTTGCTACCAGGATCAAAGATCTGTTGTCCTGCTTCTTGTTGGTTTATAGGTCACATCCAGTTTTTTTCCAATGATGTTCACATTTGTTATTATGCCAGGACTGCAGTGCAGTAATTACTATAGCTTTGTAACATTTTAAAATTTATTAATTTATTTCTAAAGTTTTTTTAAGTTTTAACAGATTCAGTATAGTTCTTAGATACACTTCTCAGAATAAAATGATAATCCCTCCCTTACTCTCCACTTTCCCCTCCCAGCCTACCTCCCTCTCCCTTTCTTTTTTCATTCTTTTTTAGTTTTTAGGTAACATACTTTTATATTATAGCCAAAATCTTAATACTCTACTTACTAGAAAGTATAGCAAGTAAAAGCAAAAATACCTTAGTTTAGTTGGAATATAGGCCTATAGGTCTATAAACAATAACTGAATGGAAAGATGGCCATTCTCCCATTTAATTTTAAAGTTTAATGATCACAGATAATTAAAACTATAGTAATATACCATTCTTAACCATTGGTTTCACAAAGATGTAGCACAAAGTATATTTGCAGCAATACTGACAGACACACGGGCATATCTTCCTTTTTTGAATTTTTGATTTTAGTTTACAATTACAAGGGAGCACATGTGATAGTTCTCTTTTTCTTTCTGTGTCTGGCTTATTTCACTCAACCTGATCTTCTCCAGTTGCATGCCTTCTTTGTTTTGCAAATGGTAGGATTTCATTCTTTTTAATAACTGAATAATACTCCATTGTGTTTATGGTGTTTATGTACCACATTTTCTTTATCCATTCATCTAATGACGGACACTTTGGTTCATTCTCTATTTTGGCTCTTGTGACCAGTGATGCTATAAACATGGTTGTGTATGTATCTCTTTGGTAAAACTTGCTTATGTCTTTCAGTTATACACTTGTAAGTGAGATTGCTGTATCATATGGTAAGTCTATTTCTAGTTTTCTATGAAATCTCTATACTGTTTTCCAAAGTGGCTAATTTAGATTCCTACCAACAGTGTATAAGTATTACCAATTTCTCTACATTATTGCTAGATTTGTTGCTCTCTCTTTTGGATTTTAGCCATCCTGACAGGGGTGAGATGATGTTCCATTGTGGTTTTGATTTGTATTTCCCTGATGGCTATTGATGTTGAGTTTTTTTTTCATATATTTGTTGGACATTTGTATTTCTTCTTTGAGAACTGTTTATTTAGGTCATTTGCCCAGTTTTTAACTGGATTAGTTATTTTTTTGTTGTTGAATTTTTAAAGTTGCTGATACATTCTGAATATTAATCCTTTGTTAGACAGATTTTTTTGAAAAAATAAAATGAAGTTCTTTTAAAATTTTATTTTAAAGGGAGCAAGAACAGGAGTGGGAGTGAGTGTGTGAGGGTGGGACAGAGGGAGAGGGAGATCAAGAAAGAGAGAGAGAGAGGGAGAGACTGACTGAGTGACTGATTGACTCTTCCATACACTTGTTCACTCCACAAATGCCTATGGTTTTCTATATGGGTTGCAGGGACACAATTACTTGAGCTGTTACCTTCTGCCTCCCAGACTGGGCATTAGTAGGAAGCTGGAATCTGAAGCAGAGTTGGGACTTGAACTCAAAAAGTCCAATATGGAATGTGGCATTTTGTGGTGTCTTAACCACCACATCCAATGCTTGCTCCCTATAACATATTTTGGAGTAAGTGAGTGTAATGCGGTCAACTGTTTTTTTTTTTAGAAGTGTGCATTGGCTTCTCAGTGTCTTTTAGGGTTCTATATAGGTTTTAGGATTATTTTTATGTTTCTATAAAATGCCATTGATACCTTTATAGGGGTTGCATTGCATCTGTTGATTAATTTCAGTAGTATTCACATTTTAACAATATCAAGTTTTCCAATTGATGTATATGGAATGACTTTCATTTATGTGTGTCTGCTTTCATTTCTTCTATTAGTGTAGTACACTTTTCAAAGTCAACATCTTTCCTCTCCCTGGTTAAATGTCTTCCTATTTATTTTTATTTAATTTAATACTATTATAAGGGAGATTATTTTAGTCATTAGCTTTTCCTATAGTTTGTTTTTGGCATAAAGAAATGAGTTAGGTTTGATTTTTATACTGTAGCTTTCCTGAAGTCTTAGTCTGCTTCTGCAATCACGTTATCTGCAAACAGCCAGTTTTGCTTATTGCTTCCAGTTTTATGCCTTTCATTTATTTTTTCATAATTTCTCAGTCAAGGACCTCCAGTACCATGTAGATGGATGATGGTGGCATCCTTGCCTTGTTCTAGATGGTAGCTCTGACAGTCCTCCTGCTTTGTTGTGTGACTGCCGTCCTGTAGGCTGGAATGCTGAAGGCAGCTCCTCTGTTCTCATCCTTCCCCGAGGAACATTGGGCTGTGCTCTCTGCCTTTTCTCGATCTTCCTGGGTTCTGCAGTGTGCATCAGGTGGCCAGTCTCTCTGACTCTTCTTTGCTTCTGCAAACTACTGGGATCCCATATGTGCTTTCACAATTTCTTATGGTAAGACCTATGCATTGGTTTCAATAATGTTTGGCACCAAAATAAGCTAGCAATTTCATTTTCTCTTGAAGTTTCGCAAGTGCCATTGTATTATCACATATTTAAAAGTATGCCTGTGAAAAAACTTTTTTTTATTACTTTTTCCAAGAAGAAAGAATTTTATATCTCCTTATTTTTCAGAACATGAATTGATATCAGGCTAAATAATTTTCATATATGATTCAGTACTTAAATTCTGTTTTCCCCCTGATATAAAACACTTCATTTAGGAAGGTATGATACCAGAGCTTACTAAAGGATTACAGAAATCTGTGAAATTGTGAGCAGTACAGAGTAGTACTTATCCACACTGAAAACTTTGATGATTTCTTTAGGTAAATTAGATTACAAATAAGATGTGCACCTTTAGGGAACGAACTTCAAATTATTATTGGTACAAACTTGCTACCATGTCCTAAAATTGATGTCATTCTCTGCCCCCACCATTTCTCTCCCCACTCCTTCTCTTCTTATACCCACACCATACACACACAACACACACACACACACACACACACACACACACACAACTATTAAGTGTTAATTTAACAGTTTAATGTTGAAGGTGTCAGAAATGGCAAATAACACAATTTGATATTCACACGTTGCCTACAGGCATTGAATTATCACACTGTGCATCAACAACATGTACCTTTAAAACAAAACTAACCTAAATCATTGAAAATATTATGTTTTGATGCTTTTCAAATCTGGTGACTTGGCTTCTCTAACTTCAGAGAATATGTATTCACAATTGGGTGGTCAGTGATTGGAAACTTCTTATAATAGTCAAAGGTTACCCTTTAAACCATTTTAAGTGTATAATAATGCAGTGGCATAAGTCCACTTGCATTGCTGTGCACCCATCACCACCATCCATCTCCAGAACTTTTCTTCATCCCAGACTGAAATTCTTTGTCCATTTCCCTATTCCCTCAGCATCTAGACTGCCATTCTATTCTCTGTCTCTATAAATTTGTTTGCTCTGAGTTTCACTTCCCATAACTAGATTCACAGAATATTTGTTCTCTTTAACTGACAGTCTAGTTGTTATAAAATATTTTATGTCTTTTTTGCTGAACCATGTACCAGAGGGAGTGCCATTCCTTTTTAAGGCTGAATAATACTCTGTACAGGCCATACTGGTATGCACTCAGGTAGTCATGGACCTTGAGTTGTTTCTGCCTTTGAGTGTTTGGATCATGGTATGATGAGCCTTGCTGTACAAATAGCTGTGTTCCTGTATTCAATTCTTTTTGGTAGAATTGCAGGATAAAATGATGATTGATGGTGATAGATATTTCTTAGGCTAAATTCAGAATGCTGAGACTTATTAAAAAGTGCTATGAACAGTCACTTATCTGAGGTAGTGTGGGCTAACCCAAGTGAGACCTACCTCACAGGCACCCTCGAAGAGCTTGAGTGGAAATATATAGTCCTTCTGTTTACTAAGAAAGGCATATGGTTCAATTATATCTAAAATATGTGACATCCACATATATCAAAGGAAACAGGTTATTGAGAAAGTACAGCTCTATGTTTTCATTCAACCAAGAGAGCACATGCTATGTACCATGAGTAACCTTTTTGAAGCCAGTATATTGGGACAATTTTTAAACTTACTTTTTAAACAGTAACATTTCAAAATAGGTTTAAATGTATTCAACAGCAATTTTGAGGTACTGCAAGAATTTCCATATTCCCACACAGCATCCCCATTGCTAACAAGTTATATTAGTATATTTGTTAAAATATATATGTTCTGTTTAAAATTGACATGTAATGTTTATCCATATTTTGGAGGTATAATGTGATGTTTCAGTTCAGGTGTACATTGAGTAATGGTCAACACAGGGAATTAGCATCTCTATCACCATAAAGTTGAAGAAAAATTATCCAACACAGAATAATTTAACCCTTGTTTTCTTCCCCTGTATGGATTTAATAAAGTCTATTATACGTTTTTCAGTGCTGATTAGCAGCAAAGGACTGATTGTGGCAAAGCCGTTGGCCACCATCACCTGGACACAGCGAAACACCGGGTCATTGTTCCACATCACTCTTGAGGAGGAGACAGTGCATTCCAACAAGTACATGAACACAAAGACACTCATGAGCAGTAGAATGGTGCGGGTGGCCCTTTGCTCTGGGGAGGCTCTTGGAGAGAGGCTGGTGCTGTGAAGGTGCTGGGACCGCCTCTTGTGCCTGCACAGGAGAGTCACCATGTACCCACTTGAGAGGGCCATGAGCCCTAAGAGGGAGGCATCTCGGAAGATGCCCAGGATGGAAAATAACTGCCAGACATAGTAACCCATGGGAACAATAGTACAGGATTCACTGAGAAATAGAAGACTGCCTGAGCTCACATTGGAGAAATAAACAGCAGAGTAGGAGTAGTGAGCACTAAAGAACATAGAGAAGACCCACAGGGAAAGGAGGGAACACAGCTGCTGATGTGGGGCTAGGTATAGTTTGAACTTTGCCAAGCAGGAGCTCCTGGGGCTGAGGGTGATGGCCTGGCTGACACTGAGCAGGCAGGTGGTGCACAGGGAGAGGACTCGCATCAACCGGTATAAGTAAATAAATGATTTGCACGTGATGTCATCCCAGAAACCTCGAGACACAAACATGTCTGTAGCCATGAACCCCATGATTAGCAGCATCGTTAGGTGAACTGGGGCCAAGAGACCAATGGGCAGGTCCGTGGACTTGGGTCTGTGCTTGTAAAAGAACTGGAAGAGGTAGAAAAGAAGGAGGAAAGCATTTGCTGACATCCCAACACTGACTTCAGAGAAGAAGATGTATCTAATAGTTATAACACTGGAAAGTTTGTTATTTCTATTCATCTTATGATGAATAGAGCAGTATCTGGGGAGAAAAGCAAGAAAAACTCAGTATCACAAATATAACCACTGTTACCAAATCAGCCAACAATACCTCTATCATCAAAACATATGGTCACTCCCAATGCATCCTTGTTTCCTCTTGAATAATCCTGTCTATGTCACACATCCATAAGCAGTCCCCTCTCTCCCCTATCCCATTTCACCCAATCATGGCTGGATTATGTCTGCTGTTGCTGGTCTCCTATGAGACCTATGCTTTCTGGTACACGAAAAGCTGCCAAATATCATAGAGAATATTTCCTCATTGCATAGCTGTTAGTTGTTCATGACAATCACTAGCAATGGCTGTTTTGGATTTGTTGTACATCATCTTGGTTAAGTGTTGGGTTCAATCTTGGTGAGTTCAAATGAAGAGGATTGCATACATGTGCAAATAAGATCCTCACAGGAAAAGCGTCTTAGTGGGTGAGACATACAGAGCTGCACTGTTTCAAAGTGATCTTTAGTCCAGTGTGTTTACTGCCAGACCAAATGCTCCTAACCTTCCGACAGACCAAACGCTGAAATTTGTGGGCTTTGCCTTAGATGTCTTAAATTTATGTCTCTGATCTGCCATATGCAACCAGTATGACTTTTATATATTACAGAGCTCAGCTCTGTGCACTCACCTCTGAACTCTAAACAGTAATGTTGCCTGGATCCTAGAGATTCCTGTGTGAATAAAGAAAGAGCGTATGTACCAAACACGGAAGTAGTTCTGGCGCATGATGGTCTTGATAGAAATGGTTGATGATGTTTTTATTATTATGATGTTCTTCCCATGTGTTACTTGGAAAACCCTATGCAGTTTTCTCACTAATTGGTCAGCTCTGTTCCTGCCTAAAAGAAAAAAAAAGAAAAAAACTCACCACAACAGTTAAAGATTTTAGCAGTCTCTGTCCAGAGAACTCTGGGTATTTTGAGTCTTTTCTATAACTTCCCGACACAGCTGCACATCTTGCATATTTTAAAAAATCATCCTACAAGTTTGAAAAGCCCATGAGTCAGAGTCCAGTTATTAAATATTAGCAGGAACATACTCTTATTTATTTTTCTAATCATGCATATGAATCAAAGTGCTAAACAGATACGTAATTAATTTTAGTTCAAGGATAAGTGTCCGCCCAACCCTGCGAGATAGGTCTCTGTAGGAGTCCAAGCTTTTATCTCTCTTTCATGTAAGCAGTAATATTTCTCTAAATTCAAGAGACCAAAAGTAAAATTTTTGTTAGACTAGAAAATTTGATGATGGCCAACTGGTAAACAGTTCTTGTAGAATACACATACTGACTTTAAAGCAACCTCTAAACACAATTTTTGTAGCATTTTGATGAGCTTCAGTGACCATGTAGAAAAATTGTCATCTAACAATCAAGGGTCTAAGATTAAATTTTTTCACAGCTCTAGTCTATATGTATGCTACAAAGGGAAAGTGATGGGCTGGCTAGATGGCACAGTAGGTTTAGCCTTCACCTGCCATGCCACCATCCCATGTAGGCACTGCTTCTAGTCTAGGATGCTCCTCTTCAAATCGAGCTCTCTGCTGTTGCCTGGGAAAGCAGTGGAAGATGGCCCAAGTGCTTGGGCCCCTTCACCCAGATGGGAGACCAGGAAGAAACAGCTGGCTCCTGACTTTGGATCGGTGCAGCTCCGGCCATTGTGGGCATCTGGGGAGTGAACCAACAGAAGGAAGACCTTTCTCTATGTCTCTCCCTCTCACTGTCTATAACTCTACCTCTCAAATAAATACATAAAATCTGAAAAAAGGGAAAGTGAAATGTTCAAGATTCATGAATATTGAATACCATTTAGGTGCAGTTTCTTGGTTAAAATATTTGAAAATATGGACTTCCTAAAATGAAAGTTCTGTAGCAGCAATAGGGAAAGTTAACCTTTTTCTAAAGTAAGGATGAGATAAGATGACACAGATTTCTCCATTTATTTGTTCATCATGTTGGAGTTGATGCTCATGACGAGCCCAAGAGGAAGCAGAGGAGAATAGAAACCCAAATGTCCAATACCATTAACACCACTTCTAAAATTACCTTTCATGTTATTTTTGAAGTGAGGTTTGCTATAATTTAGTTTACTTCATTTTAAAAATCTGACCTTGCAAACACACAGCACTGTGAAATTCTTGAAGTTGCATACTAAACACTAAGGTATTTGCCTGCCTTGTTTACAGGGTTGCTAAGGAAAGTCTGCTGTTACAAGCACAAATGTTTCTACCAATGGAGAAGTGTAGAGATACCGGTCATTGACAATAATTATAAGGAAGTCCTGGCTCTGGAAGATCATTTCTTGAAATGTGTAAGAAAATATGAGTTTTATGAATGTGAAATTTTGCAGTGGGAGCCAAAAATATGAATCTCCTTCCCCAGGGTGTGGATGGAGGAATTGGCACCAGTTGATGCAATCACAAGTGGCATTTCACCTTCTTCATGCAGTGCCAGGAGAGGCACAGAACATGTTTCTCTAGTCACCAGCAGTGTTCACATGTTGGATCATGCACAACTCTCAGTGAAGCAGCCACGTAAAATATATCCCTCTTAAATGTTTGTGAATAATATGAGAGATGTCATTATTATAGATAATACTTAATATGCAATTGAGGTCTAATATGTGATTTTTATGACACAGGATTCTGGTGACTATGAGCCCTTCAGATTAAAAAGCAAAGCCTGTAGTGCATCTTCTCCTGCTGTGCCTTGTCACACACAAAGATAGAGAAACAGATACAGAAATACACTCATACAGATAAACACACAAACACACACACCACACACACACACACACAGCTGACCAGCACAGCACAGCGCAGTCTAGGAGACCAGGGGACAGGAAGGGAGCTCTATGCCATCAGCAGGGTGAGGCCGTTCAGATCGCTGGTGCTGAGACTGCCCTTGTCTGTGTCAGAGCAGCATCACTGAAGTCACACTGAACACTCAGCAGGAAGCCGGCAGCCCTAGGGGACTTGCCATCCTGTGTCTCAGAGCAAGCAAAAGGAACTCTGAAATGAGTCACATTGGAGAGGGCACTTTGGCTAAAAGAAAGGAAAGGCCAAGTGGACAGATTAGGTGAAAATAAGCATACATGGAGTAAGAGATCTTAAGAAATATCTGAGCACTGATTTGTTAGAGCTGACGGTGAAGGTTGTGGCTCCCAGGGAGAAAGATGACAGTTAAGACTCCCTGTGACTTGCACATGACGGAGACAATCATTTAGACATAGCCTTACCCACTGTTTTCCAGAAAACAGATGATGCTGTGATGCATGGGGCCATCCAGTGGGCCCCTACTAGTGACCAGTGCTTGGCCAGTGCACCTGAGGCCATGTCAGGTGAGGAGTGGAGGGGCAACATGAGGAGGAAAACTCTGAGTGGGTGGACAGACACAGGGATAAGGGAAGGGCTGGAGGACTAGCCTGATTCTCATCTTCTGCCCGACTGCAATCACGCAGACTCCCTGGTGTAGAGATGATGTGTAAATAACACTACTTGTGTCCAGCTCTTAGCAGTGTGTGCTCAGACTAACATACGTGAAGAATACTCTTTGGGTTGTCCTTATCACCATAGCTGAACTTCACTATGTCTGTCATCGCTTCACTATGTTAGCAAAGAGGGATTCAGGGGTGAGCCTGGCATGCTACGTGCATGTGGGGTTGAGACTCAGGTTAAACACACCAGCTGCTCTGTATCACAGACCAGTTGCAGCTGGGAAACTGTGACAAGCCCTGGGGGGAAGCAGCAGGCACAGCTGGGAAGGAGACGTCATCTCCACGCAGAGGTCGGTGCTGTGTGCAGAGATGCTGGGAAAAACAGGAGCCTGTGGGTGTGAGGAGGAAACACCCAGAGGACATTTAGGCAAACAAATGGCAGCTTTTTGTGAAAAGTGGGGGTGAGAACAAACGACTGTCACTGTAAAGTCAAAGGATTGTGGAGCACAGATCAGGGTTCACACTTGCAGCTAGAACAGTGAGATTATCAGAGTTTTAAAAATATATCTTAAAGATTGGCAGAGGGGGCAGGCAGGAGGTGCAGGGAGTTAAGCTGCCCTAGAGACCCCCACATCAGGTTTGTGTCCTCGCTGTCCCACATCCCATCCAGCTCCCTACTGATGTGCCTGGGAAGGCAGCAGAAGATGCCCAAGTACTTGTACTTCTGCCACCCATGTGGGAGACCCAGATGGAGCTCCATGCTCCTGGATTGCACCTGCACCAGCCTGGGCTGTTGTAGCCATTTGAGAAGTGAACCAGGGGGGGAAGTTCTCCCTCTCTCTGTTTCTTTAACTCTGCCTTTGAAATAATTAATAAGTTGGTTGTTTTAAAAGAAAGAAAGGTCAGAAGAAGTGTTAGGATCCTTGGAAAGTAAAGGGCAAGGAGCCCAGGGAGCTTCATTGGCGCTCACTGTCCTTACCAGGAAAGGCGGTCCTGCAGGAGACCTTACTCCCTGGGCCACCAGGGATGGATGAGTCACACGAAGCTTTCCTTCATCACCATCGTCTGTGTCTGAGCGACAGGGCATAGGTTGACATTCACCTGTTCATGCGAGTTCATGAAAAGAGCATGCTTCAAAAATCCTGAAACACAGCACAGGAATCAGAACAGAGCAGGGTTCCCGTGGCCTGCATGTGTGCTCCAGGCATGTCCCTGACTAAAGAATGGGCAGGAAGTTTTATACATGGGAAATGCAAGGGGAAGAGAGGAACAAACGTCTTCCTGCCCTCTAGTTCTTAGAGATTTTGGTTCTAGGGTTTTGGAGTCAGCAGAGGAAACCAGCATCTTCTCCATTTAAAAAGTATTTGTTGTCCTGGAATCTTCACCATCCCTCTCCTCTTATTCACAGTTTTGAACTAGCAGAGCACAGACTGCAGGATGGTACCGTAATTTGTCATCTGTGAAATTTGAACTGGGAAGAGAAAGCTTTCAAGAGAAAGCACTTGGAAGTTCTTGCAGTGAGGTGAGGTTACATGCTGTGAGATGACATTTGCAACAAATAAACTCATTTAGTTCTCATGAATCTAAAATCATTTTTAAATGCACAGCCTATATACATCCCTTATAAAAGTAATACTCATATTTTATTTA